CCCCCCCCCCCCCCCCCCCCCCCCGCAAATGACATATTGGTGGATTTTATCACAGAGGCAATGGTGCTAGTGTCGCTCGGATTGTTCCTTATGCAGCGCTGCATTACATGGCTTATGAACAATATCGAAGATGGATTATCCTTTCTTTTCCAAATTTTGATAGAGGCCCCGTACTTGATCTTTTGGCAGGATCATTTGCTGGAGGAACTGCAGTGATTTTTACTTATCCTCTGGACTTGGTTCGGACTAAGTTAGCTTTCCAGGTGAACTGCCTGAATACAAAGTATATATAAAATTGTAGACTTCCTTCGGCCTCATCAGTCAGTCGAGAGGTCAATGGAGACGACTGTTTCAGTTTAACTAGATTCATGAAAACTATCTTTTAGTGCCATAGCCTTACTCTCTTCCCCCAATAATATAATATAAAAAGAGTAGTATCATTGAACTTTGCTGCGAGTAAAGAGATGAATTTCCCTGCACTACCTTCCTGTGGAAACATTCTAACCTAGTTAAATCTGATATTGCAGGTTGTCGGTCCGTCAAAGTCGAGTATTCATGGACTAGTAAGCCCTGAGCATGTATACAAAGGAATTTCTGACTGTTTCTCAAAAACATTTAAAGAAGCTGGACTTAGAGGTCTCTATCGTGGTGTTGGTATGCATTTTTAATCTTCTCATATAAGTACTAGCATCTACTTGTCTGGGGCTTAGTTTTCACTTAGCTAGTTTTCCAATTAATACCGAGTGTCACTGCCAGCCCCATCACTTTACGGGATTTTTCCATATGCTGGTTTGAAGTTCTACTTCTATGAAGAAATGAAGCGACATGTACCAGAGGAACACAAGAAAAATATTATGGTCAAGCTGGTATGCGGGTCGGTTGCAGGCTTGTTAGGTCAGACCTTTACATACCCTCTTGATGTGGTTAGGAGGCAAATGCAGGTAATAAGTTGCACCAACATTCATGGAATTACTTAAAATGTTTAAATTCTGAACCATATGAGACCTTTGTGAAAATTTGCTCGAACAGGTCCAACGCGTACTAGCGTCCACCAACGCAGAGATGATGGGAACATTTGAAACCCTTGCTTTGATAGCTAGAAAGCAAGGTATTAAACAGTTGTTTTCAGGCTTAAGCATCAACTACTTGAAGGTGAGAATATCAATTCCTTTACCTAGTCTCCTTCCACATCATTCCATAACAGTGTAGTGTCTAAGCTAAGTTGTGTACTTTTCAGGTTGTGCCATCAGTAGCAATTGGGTTTACGGTTTATGATGTAATGAAAACATACCTAAGAGTTCCATCCCGAGACGAAGCTGTGGTAGAAGTGGTAACAAATAAAAGAAACATCCAATCATCCTCTCTTAATACATAACAAGTATTCTTTCTTTCCCATTCAAAACCATGGCATATTCTAGTATTAGAATCCATCACGTTAGCCTTGAGATTATTTGTATATGCATTCTTTCAGTCTGTTTAGAGCACATGCTAGTTACAAGAATCTATGAAGGAATACCGTTAAGGCCGAAACATTTGTTATTTAGATGTCTCCAAAAAGTAGTAACTGTCATAAATGTAGAATTAGCACAAGGTGTACATATAGCTGGATGTCTTGTGTAAAGATTTATGGTTTTGATTGAAGGTAACTTCTAGTATATACGTTGATTCTTCATATATTTTATATTGTTCGGAAATGGTTGCCTCGCACCAAGCCCTCCCTTCACAGGGTCGTGGGAGTTTAGATAAGAATCACTTATTTCTCTACTTTCTACTACTAGTTACCCTTGATATTCCATAAACGTTTCAAAACTTGGACGTAAATTGAGACTTTGAATAGTGTGACAGTGATCTAGAATAAAAATTTGGATCATCATACTACTCTTTATCGCTACTACACTATTCTAGGTACCGATTTCTATCCTAAATTCTAAAAAGATTTCTAATAAGAGTAATTTAGAAATAGATGGTAAAGTTCAAGGGTAATTTTTATTATTTAGCCTAACCTCGGAACAGGGAGTTAGGATTGCACTTTGTGAAATAGATTGGACTAAGTTTCTTTGAACTCGTAGTTAGTTTCACAGGTCAACAGCGCCAGCAATCGAAATTGGAACGAAATCAATGTCATTTGAATCTATTTTTCTTTATATTCTAATTGTGAAGTCTAATTCAAATTATGCAAGCAAACAAACACTAAAATGAGTAGGGATGTAACACAGTAATTTCAACTTTGAAAAATACTAATGGTCTACAGATACAAGTTCCTGTTGTTCATAATAAAGTAGACTCAGAAATCTTATAGATGGCCTTTCTTATTTCTGAATAAGAAGGCCCCTTCTACCTCTTCTGTGTTGAACAAGGCAGAAGGCAAACTATAAGTTCATGCTACAATGATAAATTAGAAAAAGTGTGAAGTCAATACAACAGAATCTAGTCCCCTATGATACACTAGTTTGAACTGTTTGCTGAAGTTTATCATTATGTAGCCAGAGTCCTGATGGTTCCATTTCTGAGATATGGCACCGTAAAGGTTTTCTCACAGAAAAAGGAAGGAGCATTACCAGCCTTTTTAGCCTTGTAACCTTTTGCTTGCTTCCCCTTAATGTTTTCTGCAAAGAGAGCCCTTATAGATGAAGTTGGCTTACAGATATTAGTGCACAATTCTCATTGGATGCAAACCTACCTGACAGAAATAGCATCAGACACTGTGGCTAACCTTGAAATCAACCCTTTAATTCTCATTCCTTTATGTTCCCCACACCTAACTCGTCCCTTCACTGGCTGCCTGGTGCAGTAGAGCCCATCGCCTAAATCAACACCACACTTTCTTTCAAGGCTTGAGTTGAGGTCTGGAGAATTGTCTTGTGCTATCAGAATGGATTCCTGTGTTGATGTGGGCGAAGTTTGCTGCTTGTACTTTAAAGAAGCAAGATTATCCTGGCTTGGCAAATCAACTTTTGGTTTGGCTTCTTGAGATGATATAAGAGTTGGTCTTCGAATTCTTTGCCCTTTGTGTTCTTCACACCGTTTCCTTCCTTGAACTGGGGTTCTTCTACATGGAGAGCCATCGTATAGAACAACTCCACAAATTGGAAGAAAATTTCCCTTATTAGGAAAGGAATCTTGAACTGATAGCTCTTCTGTGTTATAGGAAGTCTCAGCATTGCTACCAGAGAAGTCTGTGTCACCATATATGGTAGATGAGTTCTTCAGTAACCCATTAACTTTCATCCCTTTATGTTCAGCACACCTCTTCCTTCCTTCAACTGGGGGCTTCCTACAAACTACGCCATACCCTATGACCACTCCGCAACTACTGCTATCAGCCCCACTAACATCATCAGTGTTCACAACTAGTCTAGGCCGAGATCTGCTGAAGTGGAGAATGCGAGAGAAGAAACTGCTACTCTCCTCACCATATTCACCTGGTTTGTTTTCTGTTGGAATTCGCTTGCTTGTTTTAATTTTGATGCCCAACTGCTTCTGTCTAAATGGCAGAAGCTTCCTGGCAATGATGGTAAATTTCTTAGTTTGTGAAGCGATATCCTCGAGTTTTTTTAGTACATCATTATGTCGTCGTGCACCATTACCAGATGTATTCCATGCATAGTCGAATGTTTTAAGCAGTTGAGCTTCTGTCATCTGAGCATCCCTCTTGTTTTTCATCTGTCAAAGCAACAAAAGAAATTAGGAACATGGAATGGAAAAAACCACAAAATGTAGACTTCCTTTTATACTCAAACACATTGGTATATGTAGATCTCTCCAATCCTCGATCAGGCCCGCAAGTGTACCAGCCCAAGCCTACCACTAGCAGATATTGTCCTCTTTGAGTTTTCTCTTTTGAGTTTCCACACCCTTATAAGGAATGTTTCGTTCTCCTCCCCAACTGATGTGGAATCTCACAATCCACCTCCCTTCGGGGCCCAACGCCCTTGCTAGCACACCACCTTGTGTCTACCCCCCTTCGAGGCTCAGTCTCTTTGCTATCGCATCTCTCGGTGTCTGACTTTGATACCAACTGTAACAGCCCAAGCCCACCGCTAGCATATATTGTCATCTTTGGGATTTCCCTTTCAGGCTTTCTCTCAAGGTTTTTAAAACACGTCTATTAGAAGGAGGTTTCCACACCTTTATAAAAAATGTTTCGTTCTCTACCCTAACTAATGTGGGATCTCAGAGCAAGAGCAAGACTAAGGTGTATGCTAGCAGTACAAAAAAATTAGCATTCAGAATCACATCTCACAACACTCTTTCCAGTTCACGATAATTAATCCAAGCTTTCCCTATTTTCAAACAGCCACCTACTGTGACTAAATGCTCTAACCCCAGTTTGACTGCTCATTGATGCAGATTCAGTGGGGAACTGTGTTCTTCTAGAGCACTCAAAAGACACTGCGAACGACCAACATTCAGATGCCAATAAAAGAATTGCTATCACATACATGCTAATGCAGTTGATAGCCATTTCCCCAAGGCATTACAAGAACCAGATGAAACCATTTGATTCAGGTATATATAGAAACACAACAAACTTACTTACCGGAGCCCATCTATATACAATGGAGTATCCTCTGGTGAACATCTCCTGAAACAAACCAGGTCCCTTTTCGAGGGGAACAACTTTACAGCCCACGAAACACAAATAGCCATTGCCCAAATGAGAACCTGAGCGACCATAGTGCTGTAGTCGAGTTCTCACATTATCGGCTTCGCCGAGGTAGACGACAACTATCCAGTCTGCATCTAGTTTAGCTATCTCACGGCCCAAACCAGAGCTAGATACAGCTATCCCAAGCTCATACAGTCCAGGACCTGAAACTTTAGGAAGATTGTGAATTCTGTACCTCTCTGCACCTTCCTTCCCCGACGAATAGTCTTCCCAATCAGAAGGCGCAACAAGAATCTAAGTCACCACAACAAGCAATACAATGAGGAAATGTATATAAGTTTGATTGCGATGCTTACAAGAGGCACTGCTTTGGTTACTACTAATAACAAGCAAATCAGTCGCGAAAACAGTGAAGTGAAGGCAAGAGTCTTGGATTCTAATCAAGATTTGAAAAAGAAAACTATGAACATCTCCGCCTGGACCAAATACAGAGGAAAACCGATTCATGCTGCTTCATAACTATCCTAAAAGAATGCTATAGCTTCGATTTCAAGCTCATTTCTATAAACAGGAAGGAACTCACCAAGTTTGGAAGAGAGAGAGAGAGAGAGAGAGAGATCGAACCTCCCATTTGGAGAAATTGGAATCGTGTTTGGTTCTTTTACAGTCTTCCCTCTTCAGCCTCGTCGAAGAAAACTCAGCCACCATCGCGCCCGGCGGTTAGGAAAGAGATAATTACGTCGGTTTGAAGCGAAGCCTCGATCTGCTGTACATGGTGAAAGACTTCGACAAATATGGAAACTATTTGAAATTGGAAAGATCCGTTGCAATTTATTGATAATCGCCCCTCCTCTGCCGTTCGTCGGAGATCGGAAAAAGGCAGTGCAATCATGAATGGGATTGGTTAGGGCTAATTCGTAATTTTTTAATTCAATTCAAGCCTTAAATTTGTCGGATCAAAATAACTCAATATAACCTATTATTTTTATTTTTGGGTGAAATTACTCCACTTAATACTTAAGACTGAACTAAAAAATCAAGCAATGTTGGTCGAATTTTAATAGATATAAGATGAGATAATTAATTTGATATTCGAAGATTCTATTGACATGATCGAATATCCACAATGGTATGATATTGTCCACTTTCATAGGAATGGAGACAGTATTCCTCGCTTATAAACCGATAATCGAACTCACCCCACAATTATCCTCCTCAACCCTGGTCAGTTCCCAATCCCAAGATTTGGCAGTTTTGTTCTGTAATTGTGTCTGAACTCTGTAGTGCGAATATGGCATTGTGTTTGTGTTGCGTGGCTTCAACAACCAAAACAATTGCCCAAATGTTGCCTCAATTCACTCTTCTTTCTTCTTTAACCCTCCTTTTCTCCACCATTTCCATCGCTGATTCCACTTGATTTCAAATTTGATCCTCGAGGTTGGGAACTGAACTGGGTTTGGGTTTGTGGATATGGAGGAGGGTCATCGGGATGTGGCTGGGAAAGTGGTGGTCGTCGCCATTAAAGCCACCTCAAAGGATGTTTCGAAGACTGCTCTCCTTTGGGCTCTCACTCATCTTGTTCTGCCTGGAGATCATGTTAAGCTCCTTGTTATTATCCCTTCTCATCACTCAAGTAAGATTCCTTTGCTTTTTCTATGACTGCTTAATATCATTGTGCATCAAAATTCTTAGTGTTCTTATGTATGTTCTTGGCCCAAGATGAACGATGGGTAGCTCGATAATTCTTTGAATTCCTCATAATCAAATGTTCAAGAAAAGATTATAACTAAAGCTTGAGGATCTTGGTTAAAATGGGATGCCAATTGGCACTGTTCTAGAGGATTGTCCAGTGGAACGACTACCCCACGGGTGATAATGTCAATTGTCCATTTGGTTGACCAATTTATTCGTAACAGACCAACACCAACCCCAAGTCCAAGCCCACTGCTAGCCAATATTGTTTTCTTTGGCGCTTCTCCTCAAGATTTTAAAATGCGTGGGGAGAAGTTTCTACACCCTTATAAGAAATGTTTCGTTCCTCTCTCCAACCGACGTGAGATTTCAC